GCGCCTCCGATCACTCCCCACGCTCGGGAGAGCCCCGCGGAGTGCCGGCGGCGCGGAGGCTGCGCTGCGCACGGCGGGAGGGGAGGGGGTCGGAGTTGGGACGGACGCCGGCCGGAGAGCGGCGGCTCCCGCAGAGGCTCCCCCGCCCGGTTCCCTCTCCCCGGCCTCCCTGCGTCGTCCGGAGCTCGGGGGCGCTGCGCCGCGGCTCCCAAAGGGCCTGGCTCGTCCGAGGCCCGTCCTTCCCTTCGCACGTCGGTGGGAGCGAGGGAAACGCCGCGCGCCTCAGTTTCCCCTGGAGCTGCTTCTGTGCACAGCCCGCCCCCTCCTCAGCGGCCAGACGTGCTCCCCGCGCCGGCCCTCGGCAGATGGCAGGGACTTAATTCGGCCCGCTGCCTAGCTTGGCCGCAGCCTAATCGCCCCCGGCCGCCGGCCCCTCGCCCTCCCCTGTCAGCGCGCACCGCGCAGGCCCCAGGCCCGAGCAAGGGGCGTTGGAGCCCCCGCCTGACCCGAGCCAGTTCACCCTCTTCCTGTTCTGCCCTTTCCTTTGGTTTTGGGGGAAGAACATAGGGAAGGGGGGGGGCGGCAGGAGCCCAAAAGACAGGGCGCAGCGTTGGCAGAAAGGCCCGGCCTGGGCCGCGGGGCGGGGGAGCCTCCTTGGCCTTGAACTGGGCTGCTTGGTCGTCTGTCTGCCTGGGTGGCCATCGGATGACCTCGAAGTTGCTTGGACGCCAAAGGGGGAGGTGATTAGGGGAGGCAAGTTCGCAGGTGTCTTCGCATGGTCCCCGCTGGCTTGCACTCACCAGCCCACTTTTCTGAAGGCCTGAGTGGAAGCTGGAACAGGCCTCTCGGGGTCTGGAGAGAGCCAGGTCGAGCAGGGCCTTGCGGCCCTTCAGGGCAGAGGTGAGGGATGAAGGGCTTTGTTTAAACCCAGAGTCTGCAGAATTGGGGGGGAGGGGGGCGGGAGGATTCCTTTCTGCCTGTTTGGTACCCCCCTCCTCCCACCCCCACCTTGGTCCGCGCGATGCCAGCTGCCACCTGCTGGGACTGTCTGCAGTTAGGGTTTAAAGGCTGGAAAGAGGTGAGAGCCTTGGCCCTGGGAAGTGGCTCTCCTCCTGGGCAGGGCATGGATAAGGAGAGACTTCTGCAGTACTTTTTCCTGGCTGGAGACGCTCTTGTGGGAGTCTAGTGCCTCATGAGGCTTGTGGGATTTGTTTGGTGCTGGGCTAGGTTGGGGCTGGGTGAGACTTTCTGGGCTCCTGTGGCCAAAGGAAAATGAAAAGGGTGAGGAGTTTGCGTTGAAGACAAACGGGAGTGAGGAGCTCAGGGCTGAAATGAGAGGAACAGAGCAGCCTGGCGCTTCTCCATTGTGATTGCTGGGCAAGCCTGCACCCTGGAGTTTTAGCCCTGGGAGAGCGGGGTGGGGAGGGAGGGCGGGCCGGGGTGGGGAGAGCCAGGGTACTCCGGGGAAGGTCCGTGAGCGAGCAGCAGGTGTTCGTGACTGGAGAGGCATGGGCTGGGGCCCTTGTGACCGGGCTGCCGTCACCATTTTCCCCTGTCTCCTCTTTGTCTCTTTCCGTTCCTTTGTCTAATCTCCATCTCGGTCTCTTGGGTGATTTCCCTGAGGCCGTTTCTCCCTGTTGACCCGTCTAGATCTCTAGATGTCAGTGAAGTCCCCGACTGCCCTAGACTTGACCTTAAATGACCCCTGGCCTTGTCTCTGACCCTGGCCCTAGATTTTCAGTGCCCTGTCCTTCTCAGCTCCTCCCGGACCTGATGTGGTCCTGTTCCACCAGCTGTAATAAGTTGGTTTCTGGGTTCTGGCCCTCAGGTTTAGAGTTTCACATCACGCTCAGAGTAACCCTGTGATGTGTGATCACTCGTCCCTTCTTTCAAACAGCAAAAGTAAGTGAAGGAAGGGGCTTCCGCAGCGAGCCAGTGATCGCATTGTAGCTAGAGTAATTTGTCTTTTCCTAAGTCACACATGGGTTTTCAGATCTCTGTGGACCCCAGAAGATCCATGAAAAAATATTAACGGATTGCATGCTGACATGAATGAACCCTTAAACCTAGGGCATCACGTACGTCATCTTCCCTAATAACAGTATTGATTAACTGACGGATTCTGTGCTGGACGCAGGACAGGGCCAGGCAGTTTCCCTCTTTCCGGCTGCTCTCTGAACCCGCTCTTTCTGCGTGTTCTGGCTTATGCTTCTGAGAAGTCTCTGCTTCTCTGGGGTCTGCTGTCTGCCCCGGTGTGCACGTATTACCCCCTTTCTGATTTTAGGGGTTGGTAAACCAACCGCCTCCACCCGCTCTCTAGGATTTGCGCTATGGTGGGGCTGTACTCTCGGGCTCCGAGAGGGTGCCTGCGTCCGGGGGTCTCAGTTTCTCTGTTTTCATCAGGTCTGGGACCTGCCACCATGGGGGACATGAAGACCCCTGATTTTGACGACCTCCTTGCTGCCTTCGACATTCCCGACATAGACACGAATGAAGCCATCCACTCTGGGCCCGAAGAGAACGAGGGGCCGGGAGGCCCGGGGAAGCCAGAACCCAGTGTGGGGACTGAGTCTGCAGCCACCGCCGCCGGGGATGGCCCTGGAGCTCCGGCCCCGGCCCCTGACATCTCGGCGGTCAGCGTCATCGTCAAGAACACTGTATGTCCCGAGCAGCCGGAGAGCCTGGCTGGGGGTTCAGCAGGGGAGGGGGCCCGGGCTGGGGGAGTGACTAAGGAAGGGCCTGTGGGGCCCCGTCTGATGCAGAATGGTTTTGGGAGCCCTGAGCCATCCCTCCCAGGAACCCCCCGCTCTCCAGCGCCTCCCAGCGGTGGTTCCTGGAAAGAAAAGGCCGTGGAAGGCAAAGCTCCCTTGGACCTCTTTGCTCATTTTGGGCCTGAGCCAGCGGAGGACACTGACCCGCTGCCTCCGTCTGCACCCTCCCCACCTCGTGAAGGGGCCATGTCCCCCCCTCCCTTCCCCTCGCCCTTTGAGCTGGCTCAGGAGAATGGCCCAGCTCTGCCGCCGCCTGGCTCTTCCCCACCGCTGGGGGCCTTGCAGCAGGGTGGCTGCAGCCCCCTTTGTCCTCAGGGCCTTGCCCGGCGAGACTCAGCCTCCAGCCCTGAGGCCACAGACGTGCCTGCTGGTGCCTCGCCTCTCCGTGTGGCTGGGGTGCCCTTCTTCAAGCAGTCTCCTGGGCACGAGAGCCCTCCTGCCTCCCCTAAAGTGCCCGGCTGTCAGCCTCTGAAGGAAGAGGAGGAAGACGAAGAGGGCCCAGTGGACAAGTCTCCCCCAGGAAGCCCCCAGAGTCCCTCTAGTGGAGCCGAGGCCGCGGACGAAGACAGCAATGACTCCCCCGCCTCCTCCAGCTCCTCTAGGCCCCTCAAGGTGCGGATCAAGACCATTAAAACGTCTTGTGGGAACATCACGAGGACCGTAACACGGGTGCCCTCAGACCCTGATCCTCCTGCCCCCCCGGCCGAGGGGACCTTGTTGGCTGACGCTAACCTCCTAAAGCTGTCCCCTGCTCCCCCGACTCCTGAGGGCCCAAAGGTGGTGAGTGTCCAGTTGGGTGATGGCACGAGGCTAAAGGGCACGGTGCTGCCTGTGGCCACCATCCAGAACGCCAGCACTGCCATGCTGATGGCTGCCAGCGTGGCCCGCAAGGCCGTGGTTCTGCCTGGGGGGACGGCCACCAGCCCCAAGACCATGGCTAAGAACGTGCTAGGCCTGGTGCCCCAAGCCCTGCCCAAGGCAGAGGGACGAGCTGGCCTGGGGACAGGGGGACAGCGGGTCAACGGGGCCTCGGTGGTGATGGTGCAGCCTTCCAAGCCGGCCACAGGGCCGGGGGCGGCGGGGGGCACGGTGATCTCACGGACCCAGTCCAGCCTGGTGGAGGCCTTCAACAAGATCCTCAACAGCAAGAACCTGCTGCCCGCCTACCGGCCCAACCTGAGTCCCCCCGCCGAGGCCGGCCTGGCCCTGCCGCCCTCGGGCTACCGCTGCCTGGAGTGTGGGGATGCCTTCTCCTTGGAGAAGAGCCTGGCCCGGCACTACGACCGCCGGAGCATGCGCATCGAGGTCACCTGCAACCACTGTGCCCGCCGCCTGGTCTTCTTCAACAAGTGCAGCCTGCTGCTGCATGCGCGGGAGCACAAGGACAAGGGGCTGGTCATGCAGTGCTCACATCTGGTCATGCGGCCTGTGGCCCTAGACCAGATGGTGGGGCAGCCGGACATCACGCCCCTGCTGCCTGTGGCTGTCCCGCCCGTCCCGCCGGCCCTGCCCGCCTTGGCCAAGGCCGAGGGGGCCGTCACCTCCACCGCCGTTACTGCGGTTGCTGCCGAAGCTCCGGTGCTGCCGCTCTCGGCCGAGCCCCCGGCTGCCCCCGCCGCCTCTGCCTCCACCTGCTTCCGCTGCCTGGAGTGCAAGGAGCAGTGTCGGGACAAGGCTGGCATGGCTGCCCACTTCCAGCAGCTCGGACCCCCTGCCCCCGGGGCCACCAGCAACGTGAGTTGTTGTCCATAGCCCTTCCCTGCGGGGAGGAGGGACGGCAGGTGCTGTGCGGGTAGAACCTAGCAAGGGGTTGGGGGGTCTGGTTAGACGTCTTCGGGGTCAGGCCGTTCCTTACCAACATCACCTCGTTTCCACCGCCCCCCAACAGGTGTGCCCCACCTGCCCCATGATGCTCCCCAGCCGCTGCAGCTTCAGTGCCCACCAGCGCATGCATAAGAGCCGGCCCCCCCACGTCTGTCCTGAGTGCGGGGGCAACTTCCTGCAAGCCAATTTTCAGACCCACCTCCGAGAGGCCTGTCTGCATTTCTCGCGCCGAGTGGGATACAGGTGCCTCGCACCCCTCCTGCCACGTACTGCCTCGACGCTTCCCCCCGAGTACTTTATGGCCTTGGGGATGACTTCGCAAGGGGAGCCCCCCTCTCTCCGCTGCACCCCCAGCCTGCCTCCGTCTCCCTCAGGGAGAGCAGGGCCCCTTGGAGTTCAGCCTCTGCCTCCTCAGCAGGCCTCCCTTGGGGAGCTGGGCCTCTGCAGCTCCTTCCTCCACCTCGCCCATGCTCCACCGCCCAGTTCCTGACAGACCTCAGAACCCCCATCCCTGAGAATGAGTGTGGGGGGAGGGACACGGAGGTGCCCCTGCCTCACCGTGGCGCCTCCTGCTTCCTCCCCAAGGTGCCCCAGCTGTTCAGTGGTGTTTGGGGGTGTGAACTCCATCAAGTCCCACATCCAGACGTCACACTGCGAGGTGTTCCACAAGTGCCCCATCTGCCCCATGGCCTTCAAGTCTGCGCCCAGCGCCCACGCCCACCTCTACACGCAGCACCCTAGCTTCCACTCGCAGCAGGCCAAGTGAGACCTGGGAGGAGGCGGGCGTGGGCTGGGGGTGGGCTCGGGCCGCCCCTCGCCTGCCTGACGGCCGCCCTGTCCTCCGCACCCCGTAGGCTGATCTACAAGTGTGCCATGTGTGACACTGTCTTCACTCACAAGCCCCTCCTCTCCTCGCACTTCGACCAGCACCTGCTGCCACAGCGCGTCAGTGTCTTCAAGTGTCCGTCCTGCCCTCTGCTCTTCGCCCAGAAAAGGACCATGCTGGAACACCTCAAGGTAGGGCGGCGGGGGCGGGCCTGGGGTCACACAGCCTCGGGAAGGGACGGGGAGCTGGGCCCCCCCCCCAACAGGCCTCCCCTTGCCTCCCCTTGCCAGAACACCCATCAGTCTGGACGCCTGGGGGAGGAGAACTCTGGGAAAGGGGCTGGGGGTGCCCTGCTGACCCCGAAGACTGAGCCCGAGGAGCTGGCTGTGTCTCGGGGAGGGGCAGCCCCCGCCACCGAGGAGTCATCTTCATCCTCAGAAGAGGAACTGCCCAGCTCCCCGGAGCCCCCGCGCCCCACCAAGCGGCCCCGGCGGGAACTTGGGAGCAAAGGCATCAAGGGCGGGGGCGGGGGGCCTGGAGGCTGGACCTGTGGCCTCTGTCACTCCTGGTTCCCCGAGCGCGACGAGTATGTGGCGCACATGAAGAAGGAGCACGGCAAGGTGAGGGGCCCCGAGGGGGGTGAGGGGCCCCGAGGGGAGCGAGGGAAGAGGGCGGCTTCAGGCCTGGCCTGTGTGACGGTGGGGGGGGGGGCACGGGGTCCTGGAGTCCAGCTCTCAATCTCCCACCCCTGCTCTCCCAGTCAGTGAAGAAGTTTCCCTGTCGCCTGTGTGAGCGCTCCTTCTGCTCCGCCCCCAGCCTGAGGCGCCACGTCAGGGTCAATCACGAGGGTATCAAGCGCGTTTACCCCTGCAGGTAAGCCTTGCTCCTCGCCCCTTCCTCTCTGCCCTGCAGGGTCCCCCTCAGAGAACCTTCCCACCTGCCTCTTCCCTCCGTGGCCGAAGGTCGAGGCCCCCCGCCCCGGTGGCTGTCCTCCGGGAGCCGCGGGCCTGGGTCTTCGGGTAGCGCCTGGGTGCCATGCCGCTCTCCCCTCCAGGTACTGCACGGAGGGGAAACGCACCTTCAGCAGCCGCCTCATCCTGGAGAAGCACGTCCAGGTCCGGCACGGCTTGCAGCTTGGGGCCCAGTCCCCTGGGCGGGGGAGCGCCCTGGCCCGGGGCCCTGGTGCCAGAGCCCAGGTAGGCAGAGGCCCGGCCTGCTCTGCTAGGGTCACGGAGTGGGGGAGGGCAGGGCTCCCAGGGACAGCGGGGGTGACGGAGCGGGGCCCACTGTTCTTCCCCTCTCCAGGGGCCAGGACGGAAACGCCGGCCGTCTTCTGATTCCTGCAGCGAGGAGCCCGACAGCACGACCCCGCCGGCCAAGTCCCCCCGAGGCGGACCCAGGTCCGGAGGCCACGGCCCCCTGCGCTATCGGGGCGGCGGCTCAGCGGCGCAGAGCCTCGTGGTGGGGCTGCGGGCGGACGGCGGCACCCAGCAGTGCCGTGACTGCGGCCTGTGCTTTGCCTCGTCGGGCTCCCTGAGCCGGCATCGTTTTATCAGCCACAAGAAGAGGCGGGGTGCGGGCAGTGCCAGTGCCCTGGGGCTGGGGGACCGGGAGGAAGAGGCCCCCCATCCACGGTCTGACCCAGAAGGTGGAGAGTCACCTTTGCCCGCTTCTGGGGGTCCGCTGACCTGTAAGGTCTGTGGCAAGAGCTGTGACAGCCCGCTCAACCTCAAGACCCATTTCCGCACACACGGCATGGCCTTCATCAGGGCTCGGCAGGGGGGCAGCGGGGACAACTAGGCCCTCCTTCCCGCCAGTAAGCCGGGTGTTACTGCTGCTGCCTGCTCCCTGGGCTGGGGAGCTCTGTGAAGATTCACCTTCTGTTCCACTCCTCCCTTCCCCACAGGGCAGAAAAAAGGCTTTTGAGGATTAGGATTATTTGCAGCCCCGCCCCCTGTGGGTTTGGCCCCTGGGTCCTAGTAGAGTGGGCCCTCCATTCCTTCTTTGCGAGCCCAACACTAATTCTCCTCTGCTGCAGACCCTGGCGTGGGACTGGGGTGGGAGGAAGGGACTTTCTTACCCTGCGACGGGACAGGGAGGGACCAGCGTGGTTTGGGGAGGATCCCGGACACACTCCATAACTCCTCCAGACACAGGCAGGGACTGCCCTCCTCTGGCCTGGCCCCACCCCAGACTCGCTGGGCGCTCGAGCTCCCACCCCTGTAGTGCCTTTCACTTGTATTCTTCCCCAGAATTCCACGGGGGGGGGGGTGGGAATGAGTCCTGTTGAGGGAGGCGCAGGCTCTCAGGAATCAATCTTGTAGTAATAATACTAACAGCGGGGAACGGGAGGGGGAAAACGAGACCATTAAAACTGCTCGCTCGCGGTTCAGTCCCTGCTCGGGCTCTTCTTTTTCCGTGACCTGGATGACACGGGCTTGGTGGGGAGGGGGCGAGAGTCCAAACTGGGGAGGCCCTTCGGGAAGGGGTGGTACTGGCCAGGCCAGGACAGAAAAGTGGTTGTTCTCCACCTCTTTCTCTTGGTGCCTTTTGTATCTTGGACACTGAGGCATATATTCCCTCCTCACCCTCTCCCAACCCCGTAACAACTGAAATGACACAGATGGCTAACTAAGGACTTTATTTTGAACAAAAATTAAAAAATTGAGAGCTTGTTTCCCTGGGTGTGGGGAAGGGATCAGAGAAGGACTCCCCACGGCTAGGCCGAGGCCCTCGAGGTGGAGGGGTTGTGGTATTCCCTTACCCGCCCCTGGGATGGGGAACCTCGGCCAGGGCAGGACCTGACAGAGCCCACCTGCCAAGGGGAAGTCGAGCTAGGGGTCAGTCCCTGGGAGCGCACAGAGTCAGGCAGCAGCACGGCCAGAGGCCAACCACAGGATCAAGTCCTAAGTACCAAGAACCTGCTCCTTCCCTCACTTCCTGGGACCCAGAGCAGATTAAGAAGGTGGCCTGAGGGCACAACCTCTCAGACCAGGTAAGGAACAAGACCCAGTGTCCCCCCCCCCCCATTCACCACCTCTGTTCTCTGGAGGACAGTCCTGGAGTCTGTCAGGTGGTAATACTGACACAGAGCTGGGGGGCAAGGAGCCCCAGCAAGTCTGGACCTCCGTGGCTGGCTCTCCCGCCGCCCACCTCCCCCCACCCCCGCAAGCTCTCGCGGTTACCACATGATCCTTTGTATCTCTTGTCTTCCATTTCCCTTGGGTGGATGGTTGGGTGAGTGGGGTTTCCTGGTTTAGGGTTTATCAGGCCCTCCTAGGGAGGGTCCCCTGGATCTCCCCACCACTCCTGGGCCCGAGGAGAAGGGTGTCACATGATGCCGTTGGTGAGGTACTGGAAGCCGTCGTAGAGTTTGGTGGTGATGGAGCGCATGCTGCCGTCCACCATCTGCTCCACCAGCATCTGGAGCTGCTCCTCGGTCATGCTCATGTGGAACCTCTCTTTGAGGTTCCGGATGGTGCTGGAGCCATGGAAGCAAGGAAGCTGAGAACCTGGGGGAGGCAGTGGGGGTAGAGGGTCACGGATGAATAGGAGGGAGCGGCCGCAGGAACAGCCACAGCAAGTAGAGCCAGGGGTATCTGCAGCACCCCTTCCCTCCCCACCTCAGAGTGAGCCCTGAGAGTGGATGCAGTCTGGTTTGGGCAGAGAAGAGAGGACAAGTGGGAGACCCTGTCTTGAGCCCATCTTTCTCCCACACTCCTAAGCCCTTCTCTAGGTGAGGACGTGCCTTGAGCGGAGAGGAGGGGCCATACCACATCTCCCCAGGTGAGGGAAGGCTGGGAAGAGGTTCTGGGCAGTGGGCCCTGAGCTGGGCACTTATCTGCTTGCAGGCCTCTGCCTATGCTACGTCTGACACTCACAGATGACCTGGGCCACCGTCATCACGGGGCCAGACGGGGAGGCTCCTGAGCAACGGCGACAACCTGTGGGGTGGGGGTGGGGGTGGGGAGGAGGCGGCAGCTGGCAGCTCAGACCCTGCGCACACCTGAACCTTAAGGAGAGGGATGGGAACAGGGGCCCAGAGGAGCTAGGGGATCTTGGACGAAGGATTAGTAACTAGCTGGCGGGACAGTGAGGAAACTGCCTAGGAAAAGACAAAGATGAGGGACGAAGGAAAGACTCCTCAGCTCGGAGCAGGAGGGGCGAGCAGGGGGAAAGGGGAGGGTAGCCGAGAACAGGGCAATCAGGTCAAAGTGAAACGGGGAGGAAAGTGGTGACTGAAACATCTGAGGTGACAGAAAAGGGAGATGAGAAACCCGGAGGTACGAGGGACAGGGAGGCTAAGAGGGGCCAGGAGGCCGGAGGTGGGCACTGCTCGCCCCGAGAACACCCAGCGGGATACCCTGCTGCCACCAGGGCCTAGCTGGGCCAGGAGCTGGGAGGAACGCCCCCAAAGAGAAACAGGCCCCAGACCAGAGCTCGGCACTCTCTGGGGACCTCCCTCCGAGTCCTGGGATGAAATCAACTTTCCGGAAGGTCCATGGTCCAGGGCTCTAACGTAAGTGACCATCCTGGAGCACTATGAGCACTGCTCTACCTCGAACCGCCGCGCCTCCCCTGGCCCCGCCCCTCGTCTCCCCCGACCCAGCCCCCGTC